ATATATATATATATATATATATATATATATATATATATATATATAAAAGGCAGAGTGTGTGTGTGTGTGTGTGTGTAACGAATGCACGGCAATTTTCGACAGATTTGCATCAAAATTTACATGCATATGCTCCAAGTTAGCGGGAAGGCCAAGACCGACTTTGCATTTCCCAACTTCCATCGATAGTGGAAATAATCGATTTTTCATGCGTCTACGGCAGTTTTCATGTAGTTTGTGGCCATTTTCTACTGGCCAGAGTGAGAGCCTATAGCTGGCTGCCACGAATAGGTAGGAAGATTCTATTGGCCAGCGTGAGAGCCAACAGCTGATTGACACGAATGTTAACTAGCATGCAAAAAAAAAAAATCGATAGCTGCATTCGTCACAAGTGGGAAAAATTTAAATCTGCATGGCACTCTACTCTAATTGGCTCATTCGCTTGCTTAAACTCAACGTTGATTCTGATTCCGCAGAACTGGGTTGGATGTGAAAAAGTATTTGTTGTTAACATTCTTTTTTCATTTGTTTTTCCAGTTACGAGTCCTTTCTTTAAAGCTGATCGTTTTGTGTTCATTTTGTTTAGTTCTTTTTCGTAACAGATTTAATGTTTAGTATAGAGCTTAGAAAAAATTTGCAGTGTGAGATAGGCAAGAAGTAAGGCATGTAGCAACATCAGCACGGCAAAGGGCACTCCTTTAATGGCAAGGAAGGGCAAAAATATTTTAAGTCAAGTGATAGCGATTGCTGTATGAGTCGTACGATTTTTGAATCAAGCACGGGCAATGCTGGACCATGCTGCTAGTATATATATATATATATATATATATATATGTGCAAGTTTCAGTGATTTGATTAAGTTTTTTATACAATTTCTCATGTGATCTTATAATTTTTTTCTTTTCGGTAGATAAATTATATAAAAACTGTTCAATATATTAACTGTTAACAATAAATAGATTGTTGTATGTATGTATTTATATAATGTTTCATTTTCAAAATATGTCAAGACATTGTGTCCATGTTAATAGTCGATATTATTGTCTAGTTTGTATAATTTATGTCACCATTTGCATTCACTCTAGGTTATGTCTGGCTGCCGTTAGTTGCCAATCTACGGGTAATGACCCATTTAAAAAAAATACTTTTTTTTAATTTTCGCTTAGTTTAAATTTAACGTAGGTCATATTTGATTGGTTGATCAGAGTAAAGCCCACAAACCTCATAATCCCTACTTTTCTTTTTTTTTCGTAAAAATTGGTTATATTCTGCTTTTAAATCTAAATAAATCATTCACTTGCCAGTAATTTACAATCGCCTGATGAGATGCGTTGATACGGCTCGAAACTCGACTGCAATTATGTAGCGAATGTGACATGCTTCGGTGCAATATCCTCATATATATATATATATATATATATATATATATATATATATATATATATGATTATTTATTTAAAATATGATTACAACACGCTACATAAGAGTTCTCATGTTTCAAAACAAGAGCCGAAAACTTCAATATAATTATTTGAATTAAATTGAATTAAAGTACTAAGCTCTAGCGAAATTTTTTTTGAAATAACTTATTTCTGAAATTTACGTGTTTTATAAGCATATTCATTATTAAAATCAAAATTTCTATGGTAACGGCTAGAGCAATTGTTTAAAGAAAAAGGGTCGTAAGGTGTTAATAATTTGTAACTTATAATTTATATCTCGGTAACATTCACAGATGTCAAGTCAGGGTAAGGTTGGGGTGTCTAAATTTAAAGCGGAAGAAGACATCGCATAGTCTGGTTAAGCGTCTATGGAGATTTATTTATTTTTTATTTTATTTTTTATTTTTTTCTGAAAGGGTTTTGTGTATATAAAAACTGTCGTAAATCGCTAACATTTGTTTTTTGACAACTTCATAAAGGGTTATCTTTTTTGCTAGGGCATTTAAACTATGTATTAGGACTATGGATTTTAAAAATTATTTTATTGTTTGTTTCTATGCTAATTATTCAATGCAAAAATTTGATGATGTCGGCAAAAAAACGTTAACTCGTCTATTGTTTAATAGATTCTTATTATTTAGAAACTTTATAATGTGTAGTTTTTCATGTAGGCATAAAGGGCATGGTTCATCCCAAGTTTTACAAGTTCTAGTTTTGTTTATAATTTTCCATTTTACACACACACACACACACACACACACACACACACACACACACACACACACACACATATATATATATATATATATATATATATATATATATATATATATATATATATATATATCAGGTATATACATTAGCATTTCTACCAGAGGGCCCAATTCCCAGTGAAACGCCTAGCATTAATCAGCAGCAGCCAACAAATTCCCTGTCTTCCAAAATTCCAAAAGTGCCATCCACGAAAAGGAGAATATGTAGTCATCCACAGACGTCTGTCTGTCTGTCTGTCTGTCTGTCTCTCTCTCTCTCTATATATATATATATATATATATATTATATTAGCTTATGACTTTTTGTAATCCTATGTTCCTGTGTCATAAATCGATGAATCTGTAATGAAAAAAGCATGAATTCATTTTAGTTTTGAAAAGTTCACCCCAAACCGAGAATTCGGTTTTACCATATACGCAATAAGGGTAAAAAATCAAAACATTTCACAAGATTTATTTTTCGATTTGCTAATGATGTATTTGTGTAGTGCTTATGTATGTTAATGCATTTAACAGCTATTGGATATAATATAACATAAAAAGGTTCCCTAAAGCTCTAGTAGGCTCCAGGATATTCTAGAAGTTTTCAGAATGTTCTAGAAGGCTCTACAACGTCATAGTACTACTGTAGTTATATACGATTTTAGAAATTTCGTATTGGGGTGACATTTAAAAAATAAACTAAATTAAAATCTTCATTATTTTGGGGACAAAATTTCATCGAACTATGTTTCAGGAAATCAATTATTTTATAAAAAAAATCATAAAGACATTAAGTTTTAGATATGGAATGACTTCTTTCAGCTATAACAAGTTTGTATCCTTGGCGGCAGGGTCGAAAACGAGGACCCGGACTAAGCACGACCAGCTCCAAGCGGATGACGATTACAACAGATCTCAACGGTTGAACCAGTGGATGAAGAGGGCTACGCATGACGGACATGTTACAGAAGGCGTCACTTGAAATTATAACCGATTCAGCGGAATTCACTTGCAGTTTCATAACTGGATTCTGCATGTCTTATTCCATATGTGCCGCAGAGGAAGATCATGAAATCAAGTGTGTGGGTCATTTCCTGGTAAGCTAATGTCCACCTTAGAGAAATTCACGCCATCCGCACCTTCTTCTACTCTGATTTTCTTTCACTTCCAACGAAACGGCGATAGAGAATGGATGGCGGGATCGGGTTTTGGTGAAACGAAAAGCTTCCAGTTATGAAGCTGCACGTTGGCGGCGAATGTAGTCATCAACGCCATCAACGCCATCATCATAAAGTAAGTGATCAGCTAAGAAGAAATTAAATTCTTGAATACGAGATAAACCCAACGACGACGAATAAATTTGTTACAGGAAAAAGTGTAAACGGAGACTTTTTTTTCTGTAACTTGTAAATGTTAAAATGGCGTTTTATACAACAAAGATGGAGTATTATATCTGCACACACACACACACACACACACACGCATACACATACACAAACGTAGACACACATACATACATACATACATACATACACACATACAAACACACATACATTCGCAAACACATGAACACACTTACAAACACACATACATATATATACACACATACACATATAGAGACACATACACACACACACACAAAAGGAAAAATATAGCGTATTATACCAAAATAGAAATACTCAAGAATAATTTCTGGCTTAGCAATTTGAATTTTCTGATGAATTTTAATTCTTAAGTTAATGATTGAATAAGCTCATGGTGACTTTTACGACTATAAAAATACCCCTAGAACTTCCCTTACTGTCAGGTTAAATGTTTGAGCAAAACACCTTTAACGAAATATTGCAATTGTTATATAGGAATAAAGTGTCGCTGTTGACCCTTGAGTTCGAACATAAATCGCCAGTGAGCAAACACAGGCGATGCCATTATTGAATTAAGTAGACCACGTGACCATAGAGGAAACGCATATATGTACAAAGTAGCTGACGACTAACGATCGCATTTCTATTCTATCCTCTATTACTATTCGGATCTCCATCTCTAATCTGTGATTACAAAGTTTCTACTACAACGAGCATTACGAAAGTGACAAGTATTAGTTGGCATCACAAAAGTGGCAGCGAGTGTTCGTTGACATCACAAAAGCAATAAAAATCATATTTATGAATATAGCATATTATTTAAAGAAGTAAGAGGGTACAAATGGAAATCAAAATTGACAAAATTTCACTGAAGCACATGTCAAACGCAAGAGAGCGTTTTTGCTTTCTCCATGTTCCCTTTTTATCGTCTTTCTAAAACCAAATGGCGCCATTCTTATATCTTTTTTTTTCGCCTCTCCCCGCTTTCAAACAGGTTTGGTTCATTGTTTGTGTCATGTAATGGCAGTGCGTAACGTACGTAGTAAGTTTCAGTTTATTCTCCAAATAGATTATTTCTGTTTCGATCAATGACACAATCCCAAAATAGGGAATATATCAATTCAGCTAGCTCAAGTATACTTTCCCGGAAAAACCTTATATTCGATTAGTGGGGAATGGCAAGTTGACTTTACGTTGGCTTCCGTAATTGCTTGTGACAATGAATATGCGAATGATAAATAAAATTTAATTTAATTACATTTGCATATGTTATAACTCCTCATAAGTGTAATAATGCGTTTGTGCACACAATTACATGGAAATATCAATTTAAAAATATGAGCATAAAAATGTAAGCTGAGCCTCTCAGATCAAAGTGAAACTGATATATACGAACAGAATAAGATGATACATATAAAAACAAAGACAAACACACGAGGTGACTAGATAGATAGATAGATAGATAGATAGATAGATAGATATGAACAGATTGGGATAGATAGATGGATAGATAGATAGATGTCATATATGGTCTGTTCGTCGTAGGGTCTTAGACAAAATCCAGAGACAAATATGAAATGTGGTTGGTCCTGATCTGGCATCTCGTCTACAGTCGCTCTTTCACAGACGCCTCCCTCTGTCTTTTCTAAAAATACTTTCACGGTAACCGCTCCGACGAGCTATTTTCGCTAGTTCCCAAACTACATGAATTTAAACGTGCCACTAGGTTGTCATCTCAGCCCCACCCTTTCACTGCCAAAACGGTTAATTGTAGCCGTCTCTTCTACTCCAATAGCTTCATGTCTCGTACTTCCCATCTGTGGAACTCCCTTCCTCTTACTTACTTCCCTGATAGCTATAACCTCCAAATATTCAAATGACATGTCAGTCGACATCTCCAGATGCTTTGATCTATTCCCCGGTCCTTCTCTTCATCCTTTTCTCTATCATCTCTCTTTACTCTTGCTCCAACTGCATTTAACTCCCTCCTTGTTTGGGGGTGAAAAGTTTTTAAAAAATAGATATATACAGAGAGATACTGAATTATAGCGATATGAGTGGAGCGAAGATAGATAGATAGACTAGGTTTGATATATAAATGAGGATAGCGAGATAGCTATATAGATAGATAAATAGATACATACGGAGAGACTGGGATTGATAGATATATTAGCAGAGTGAGATAGATAGATCCGGACATACTGGAATTAATAGATATATGAATAGAGCGATATATATATATATATATATATATATATATATATATATATATATATATATATATATATAAATAAATAGATAGATAGATACGGACATACTGATATGATAATTTGATATGGAATGACTGTAATATGTTTCACCTCTAGAAAACGCGATCTTCAATAGCTTTCAGTAAACGAGTACGATACTGTATGTGCGCATGTGTAGTTAGTTGTACTGTATGTGCGCATGTGTAATTAGTTGCTTGGCGAGTTTGGGAACATCTTTGTTTTGAAAGGTTTCGCACTGATTCTGTAAAAATCAACGTTTCTATTGCATTCCTGAAACAAATTAACTATCTAATGAATGGAATAAAAAGTAAGTAAATATGCTATTAGCATACGTCAGGACAAGAATTTTTTTTTCATCTAACGCCGGTATGAGGAGGTAGGAACAACATTGAGAAATTTGCTCAAGTTTGCAAATAGTGTGACTTCCAAAAATAATGCGATAAAAATATTAAGCAATGGAGGTACAGTAATTACCTTAAGATTAGGATAGAAAGTATCCAAGAAATGGAAAAATTCTATTAAGTCTGCAAGAACCAACCTTTATTATATATATATATATATATATATATATATATATATATATATATATATATTCTGTTTATTTTTATTTTACACACACGCGCAGACACAAAAACACACACACGCCCGCCCACACACGCACAAATACACACATATATTTGGTGGACTTTTCTATCGTGAACGATAAATGAGGGGTAGTATTGGATGTTACCTTTCGTTTTACAATTATGCATGTTAGCAGGGGCTATTGTGGAGAAAATCAAGTAGGGGAAAGACATATTTCATTTTTGCTTTCTTAAGTGTTATACTAGCCCAGCACACATATATATATATATATATATATATATATAATGTATGTATGAGATGTCTATATAATGAAATGGTTTAAACCCGACAGTTTTTTAATATATTATCTTTTTATGCGTTATTTTTATAGATACACTTTACTTCAGTAAATACTCTGTTTTTAATTAAGTAGTATTAATTACATTTACCAGCGTGAATGTTTGAGAAATTTCGTAAAAATATACATTCTCTGACAGGAATCGAACTTTTACCCAGACAGTTTTCTGTAGCAAAATGGTACAGTATAGCACGTCATGTCAAATGACGTTTAAAAAAATAAGTAAAGGTTAATTATTGTTTGCACTTTTTATGTAACGTATTTTGAAGAAATTCTAATTTTTAATTTTAATCAATTTATTAGATATATATAATGAATAATTAAAAAATTAAAAAGTTAAAAATTCATCTCTAGGCTAAAAGTTTCTCAGATATGAATCATTTTAGGGGTATAATAAATCCATTGGATTTTTTTCACATATGTCATATCTGATTTCTTCATATATATCGCATCTGCTTCAAAATACGTTACATAAAAGGGTTATTATGATGTCACTTTTTATTATATTTTTATTTCTTCAGGACGATATTGCATGTTGTATTCCAATCAGAAAATGAATATTAGATGATTTTTTCATTATAGAAAAAATGTGGGAAAAAATCTGAAGTAAATGAATAAAGTAAATAATTCTGACATTGCTTTGACTCATATTACCGAATACACAAGGAGCAAAGAATAATTTACGTTTACCTATTCTTAAAATTTATGAAAGTATACTTATGCATTTTCAATCTCATTTTATTTATTTAACGGTGTTTGTGGAGAATGATAGCATGAGAAACAAGCAAGTTTCGAAAAGGAGAGAGATAGAAAGATAGGATAAAGAAATGGGTGAATCTGAAACGATAAAGAATGGGAGGTAGAGTAATTTTCGGTAGGAAAAGAAATAGAAAGATGTGATAAAGAAATGGGTGAATCGGAAATGATAAAGGATGAGATAAAGAGCAGGTGTCGGAAGGAAAGGAGATAGAAAGATAGGATAAAGAAATGGGTGAATGTGAAATGGTAAAGGATGAGGGAAAGAGCAAGTTTCGAAAATGACATATATAAAAAGATAGGATAAAGAAATGGGTGAATGTGAAATGATAAAGGATGAGGGAAAGAAAAAGTTTCGAAAATTACAGAGATAGAAAATAGGATAAAGAAATGTGTGAATCTAAAATGAAAAAATGATGAGAGACAAAGCAAGTTTCGAAAAGGACAGAGATGGAAAGAAACAATAAAGAAAGGGGAGAAGCTGAAATGATAATGGATAAGAGAGAGAGAGCAAGTTTTGAAAATGACAGAGATAGAAAATAGGATAAAGAAATGGGTGAATCTGAAATGATAAAGTATGAGAGAAAGAGCAAGTTTCGGAAGGAAAAGAGATAGAAAGATACGAGAAAGAAATGGGAGAATCTGAAATGATAAATGATTAGAGAAAGAGCAAGTTTCGAAAAGCACAGTGATGGAAAGAAATGATAAAGAAAAGGGAAAAGATGAAATGATAAAGGATAAGAGAGATAGCAAGTTTAGAAAATGACAGAGATAGAAAGATAGGATAAAGAAATGGGTGAATCTGAAATGATAAATGATGAGAGAAAGTGCCAATTTCGAAAATCTTATGGTCCTTTTCCTTGTACCACGGTGACAGTCCAAGGTAGAACCAATAAAGAAGAACTCGAACGCAGATATGGAATAACACAGATATATTACAAACAGGAATATATAGGGAGAAGTAGGAGTGTTAGTATGAACAATCAGGTTTAGTAGAGAGAACAATGTAGTCTTCCAATATCTTGCAGTAGTTGTCTGAACGCGTCACTTTTTCGGACTGCCACTGACTCGACTCTTGACTCGACATGAACTACTGACAATATTCAGTCACCCACCCCACGAGGACTTCATGTGGCACAAGGCCTTTGGAACGTGGGCTCACTGAGCTTGTGGGCTCGGCCATGAATATTCCCATTGAACCCGGTTTACCTCCCCGAAAGAGAATCCGCCCTTCGGCGTAGCCTCTTTCGGGTTCCTTCCTGCCTGAAGGCAGAGAGTTCAACCGATCTGTCGTTCAAGACTTGAGTGACTGACGATATTCAGTCACCCCCCACCCACTGGGGCAGCATGTGACACAAGGTCGGTTATTTATTGTGGGTTCTCCGAGCCCGTGGGCTCAGCCCCAAAATATGCCCATTGAACCCGTATAAACGGGTTCAGGGCCGATTTAACTCCCTGAACGAGACTCCACCCCTCAGCGTAGCCTCGTTCGGGTTCCTCCCCGCCCGAAGGTAGAGAGTTCAACCGAACAGCCGGTCAAGACTTGAACGACTGACGATATTCAGTCACCTCCCTCCCCCACGGGGGCGTCATGTGGCACAAGGCCTTTTTAACGTGGGCTCTCAGAGCCCGTGGGCTCGGCCAAAAATATGCCCATTGAACCCGTATAAACGGGCTCAGGGCCGGTTTACCTCCCCGAACGAGACTCTGCCCCTCGGCGTAGCCTCGTTCAGGTTCCTCTCCGCCCGAAGGCAGAGAATTCAACCGATCTTTCGTTCAAGACTTGAGCGACTGACGATATTCAGTTTCCCCCATACTGGGGCAGCATGTGACACAAGGTCAGTTATTTATTGTGGGTTCTCCGAGCCCGTGGGCTCGGCCCAAAAATATGCCCATTGAAACCGTATAAACGGGCTCAGGGCTGGTTTACCTCCCCGAACGAGACTCCACCCCTCAGCGTAGCCTCGTTCGGGTTCCTCTCCGCCCGAAGGCAGAGAGTTCAACCGAACAGCTGGTCAAGACTTGAGCAACTGACTCCGTGCCTACTCTTGAGCCACAGTATTTATTAAGTATGGAATAGTCCATTAATATTATTAAAGGTAAGATCCCATAACAAAAAATGACAGAGTTAGAAAGATAGGAATAAGAAATTGGTGAATCTGAAATGATACAGGATGAGAGAAAGAGCAAGTTTCAGACGGAAAAGAGATAGAAAGATAGGATAAAGAAATGGGTGAGTGTGAAATGATAAAGGATGAGGGAAAGAGCAAGGTTCGAAAAGGACAGATATAGAAAGACAGGATAAAGAAATGGGTGAGTATGAAATTTATAAAGGATGAGAGAAAGATCATTTTTCGAAAAAGAAAGAGATAGAAAGATAGGATAAAGAAACTGGTGTGTATGAAATGATAAAGGCTGAGAGAAAGAGTAAGTTCAGACGGCTGTTTATTTATCGTTAATTTGTTTCATAATGTTTAATACAGTTTAAATCATTCACTGACTATTGTTTCAAATAAATAAATAACTACAATTTTAAATGCTAATAAAAAAAAAAAAGAAAAATCTAGAAAGTTATTTTGCAATATTTTACCCGATTGTTAGAGAATTCATATAGTTCCTTGTCATGTAAAATATACTCCAAGTATTTAAGGAACTTTCTTTATATAATGATGTTCTTCTGTAGTTCATTTTTGTGTGTACTAGTTTCCCGGCTCAAAATGTACGTTCTCTGAAGAAAAAAAAAACTCTTTTGTTCTGCTTTGTTCGTCCATACTGAAAGAAATCAATTGTGTGATTCAAAATGATTGTACTTTATTGCGAGATTATCTTCGAGTGAAAACGAGATTACGATAACCCGTTCTTCGTCTAAATCTAAATGTACGCTTCATTGCATCAGTGAACGTGAGTTCAATTTTGTCTGAATTTTTGTGATGAGGAATTAACATTATTTACATCCGGAATAATATGCTCATCATTGTTTTTATTACCACAACGTTTAGGCCATTTTGACCACCGGCCTTCATCAGGTGCCCATCGATCTAGATCGCATTCAATCAATTTCGAACTGAACCACTGCTTGAGTCGTTACCACAAAATGATTTTACTGGTTTGACGTACAACTCGTCGAGAGTCTTGAGATCACCTTTGTAATTATTGCATTCTGCGATATAGTCATAAAAACTCCGAGTGACGTAGTTTTCCAAAGGGTATAATTTGTTTGGTGTACTGTCTGTCGGTAATGTGTTTATGCAGTTGTAACTTTTTCTTCAGAGAACGTTAGTACTTAATGGTTAAATGTCTTAAGAAGACATAGAAGACTAGGATCTGCATTGAATCTTTTCGGTTTCATTAACTTATCCATCGTCTTTGAATTAGTGACTGTGAGGAATTACTACAATAATGATTTATACTAGTTCAAATTATTATTTACCTCCAAAGATTCGTTGAAAAATTAGCAAACATGATGGGAAAAATATATAGATTATTGACTAAATCCAAAAATCTGCCTGTAATGTAATCGATTCTAACATGACATCTAAGCTTTAGTTACTTCTCCACCGCCGTGAACTCGCTTCTATGTGTCTTTTCTATAAGTATTTTCATGATAATTGTTCTACTAATTTCCTTGGTACTTCGACCGCATGAATTTAAGCACAGTACTAGATTAGCAACTTTGTCTAATCGTTTTACTTAAGTATGATACTATCATTTCGTTACTATATTCACATTGCTTGTTGTGTAGACGTGTTATCATTTCTCTGCGTGTGGCAAATCTAAATATGTGTATCTAATTTTGAGTTAACCCCAAACGCCTCAAACATGATAAAAACAAAGTATTATCGTTAAGATATTTTTTTAATAAATACCAAAGGATTTTTTATGCTAAATTTAATTTTTTTTAAAATCCTTTTTAGAATATTCGAAATTTTGGTTGAAAATTTTGTTTTTATCTGACGTCAGTATGGGAATTAGTCTGGGAAATTTCAGCATCTTTTTGTGGTGGAAAACATTAATTTAGAAATTCTGGAAAAAAAAATCAGATAATTGTTGAATTTTAATGAAACATTTGCACAATTTCCTCAAAGATGATGAGGAAACTCTACAACAGAGATGACGCTGAGATGACGATGGACGGAGCATGGGAGCAACGTGGGCGTATTTTTAATCAAATCACTCCACGCAAGAGAGTAAAGCCACAAAGACACAAATGGTTACTGAGTGTGAAAGAATATAAAAAAAGATACATCACTAACGATAGAGAACAATAGAATAGTAATCAAGATGATAGAAGATAAGGATTGAAATGGTATTTACATTTTTGAAGAACAAAGTTGGTCGAAAAGCAAGGAGCAAGAAGATATTTCCACAAACGAAAAGTGCCAAAGAAGAAAATGTTAGCATAGAACTTACGGTTCCATGTAGCCAATTCAACAGTGAATTGATGAGACCTTGCCGTCAATATAGTACTGTGTTTACATTCATAAAGTCTAGGTTCCATAACGAAGAGTTTATCCGAACAATTATCATTACTTCTGAGTAAAACCTCCCGATAGAGGAGAACATGGCCAAGGAGTGTGTGTACGCCATTCCGTGCAGCTGTGGTAAGAAATATAAAAGAGAAACAGACTTAAGGTAAGACTGCAAGAACATTGTAAAGCGAGGGGAAATAGAAAAATCAGGCGTAGCTGACCGCATATGGAAGGAAAGGGACCTTATGTGGGATGAGGCTGAAATAATAGACAGAGAAAATCACTGTAAAATGCGAAAACTTAAGGAATCAGCACATATGCTAGGCCACAAAAATCTCCTGAGCCGTCCAAGCATAGAAATGAATACAATATAGGAACCAGTAATATGGACCGCTATAAAAAAAAAAGCAATCACAACAAAATTGCCATATGAGCGCTGCTAAAAAATGTTTACGGGGACATTAAGTTTATGAGTCCCCAAAATTCATACACTGGAGTCCTCAAGGATACATGGCCCAGTGGATAAAAAAAAAGAGTTGGTTGGATCCAGTGACGTGATCCAAAGAGTTGTGAGTTCGATACCTAGCTACTGCAGGGGTGAACAAAAACTTGGAGGGTTGAAGTAAAAAAGAGATAACTGAGACACTCAAAAGAGGCATGGTACGTGGAACTAGAGCAGTCTAGTCCGGTGGAGAAAATAAAGGCTTGAAGATGGCTGGAGCCGAAACGTCGTCAATATGGCAATAAAGATGAGGACAGCAGCCCGAACAATGTATATAATGTAAATAATTACAATACCTCATCTTAGAAATATAGACAGATAATGAAAGTATTTATAGAAAAAAGGCACAGGGAAGCAATTTTACCGAGATGCCAGGTAAGGACAAATAATATTGCTAATTGTTCTTTGAATTTTATCAAGAACTTTCTTATATACAGCAGCCATATTCAAGGCATGAACGAATTGCAGACTTATAGATATGTAAGATAGATTCTGGAGAGAGAAATTGTCTAGCAAAACACAGTGAACCAACTTTCTTGGCAGCAGACATAGCAATGGATTCATTATAATCTGTCCATTTCATGTCAAACGAGAATGTTAGCCCAAGAAGGTGCAACGAGTCACTGATGGAAGGCAGAAACGGGTCTCTCAGCTGATTACTAGAGAGAAACTTCGTTTTGGAGGCGTTAAAATTAACATTCTTGCCCTAGTTAACAATAGATTATAGGTAATGTTTTACATCAGCTGCCAATTTGACTATATCGAACTGAACAGATCTTCTATCGAGACAGGAGTAAAAGGTTGTGTCGTCAGCATAGATATCATCAGGAAGGTCATCAATGAAAATTAAGAGCAAAGTAGGTACAAGGATAGAGCTTTGGGGGTTCCTGCGTTAGTATGAAAAGTTCTAGAAGAGTGGCCGTTTAGGACAACTTTAATTTAGCGATTTGATAAGAAAAATTTAATTTGATAAAAAAAGTACATGGAAAAAGGAAGCGGAAAGGGAAAATTATACTTAAAATCAGAAAGAAACGTATAAAAATTTCTGGGGCACATTATGAGAAAAGAGGCACCGGAAACCTTGACACTCACAAGATATATTGAATACAAAAGAGAGACAGAGGAAATCAACGAGAAATCTACCTAACAATCTTGTGTAAATGGTTAATAGAAAAAGGGACAAGCAGGGACAGTAAAAAAAAATGTTGCTAGGGCCTCCGAAGAAAAGTAATTTATGGAGAGCCGTGATCACCAACTTCATGGACTGACACGGCATATAGAAAAAGACTGGAGTTAATTGATTGTATATGCAACAAAGGATAGGCAATAACTTCAAAGAAGTTTCTAAGATTTTCTTAATGTGCAAACCGATGGTGCTTCTGTCATATTACGCCATTATTATTAATGTTACTTCCATTACCTACGCGGAATATTAAAAAGAAAATTAATAAATAACATAAAATATAGGAAAAGCACAAAAAAATGATGCGTTCCAATATAAAGATGGCTGAATGTAACCAGAAATACACTGACGGAAGCAAATAACAAAAGGAAGCGTAGGACACCTACGCAGGGATGGAGAAGCTATGCGAACCGAATGCAATCTCTCGTTCAGAACAGTGTTGCCATGTGCGCATGCGCTCAAGGAGAGAACTTGACCCAAGTGACACAAGTTATCATCGTCCTGAGAATGTACGTAGATGAGAGATGGACTCAGTCTTCGATAATTTCTGTTTTACGATGACGCAGACCAGCAATTAATTACTTACACTTCGCGCATAAAACTAAAAGTTTGTTCCCTTCGCATGCACACATACGTATGTAATAAGGAGCTTAATATTAATATAAGCATATATGTATCTGTGTGTGTTCGTGTGTGCAAAAGAGAGAAGAAAAACACTATATATATAATGCTTAACACACACACAAACACATGCACACAAACACACACACATTTCGTTGCATTCAATTTCGCACAAATATCATGGGAAAGTTATGAATAAATCTTTTCCACTCTCCCCTATTTATGAGCTAAAGAACTATCTAGCCTTTGTTGGCACCCTGTCTACAAGAAGGAGAATGGTAATATTAACCTTTTCCCTATAAGGAAACATTTGGCTTTCGGTGTAAATTTATACAATCTTTCTCTTAATGTTTTTTTTTTTTAGCAAAATAGGTTTTGCAATTCCAATAGCTGTTATGGCTCTTTCCAGTATTTATGGGGGTGTTTCTTTCCTAACCTTTTATTTGAAGTGATGTGGAATATCAACATTTTGCTTATGTTATTAAGTTATCTTCAAGTTCTGTGTGCTATCTACTTTAGTTGTTGCTGCTGTTGGTAGTCCTAAAGTGATGTGGTTTCTGTTTATTCGGTACATTTTTTTGTGATTATTTAGCGTCAGTCCACAATGTTCAAAGAAGGATGATCTTTGACAAGACCCTCGAGTTTCCCAAGCCTTTTTTTTTACTATTAATCTAAAAAGAGCGAAAAGAAATGGGTTTAATTCCTGAACTGAGAATTGGTCAGCTCTGAACCAGATACATTGCTTATTAAAATTATTGTCGTTTTAAATCAGGAAGTATCTACAAATTCCTGAACAGGAATAGACATAAAACAGACAGATAGGAACAAATGCACAGTCTGGCAAATTGCCATGGCGAGTGTCTAAAATTTAGATTAGTGTTGCATGAAGCCACAAATCTATGGTATCCAGCGAGTATCACTGTTTTAATGGTTTACGAAATTCGTTTTCTAAACACTAAACCAAAATGTTAGGACACCCAAAATATCGATACTAACTAATTAACATTTGTAGAGTACAAGTCTGTAGGTAATTATTAGGCTGCTTTGGTTTCTCATAAGTTCAGAGCTGAGCAACAAAAGACAGCGAGTTGTACAGAGCCATAATGGCAATCGTATTTGAACGTGATGGCACAAATAGAAAGATAAAAACAGGATCGAACTCACTATAGTAGTGTTGAATTTTGAAATGAGTTTTCGCTTCCTAAATAACATTTTAAATCTTAACGACGACACAAAGCCACAACTATTTAGTTCCCTGCTTTAATTTTTATATGCTTCACTAATCCGACATATTTTACTGTTATAGTCACAGTGTGTTAACAGGTGATTTTTCGTCAGGTGTCCCTCATACTCGGTAACCCTTTTGGGATGTTAAACCAAACGCTTTATTCAATCCACAAGAATAGAGTGTTCTCGTTCTTGTTAACGTTGTTAGGGGAGGTAACTCGTATCAATTAATACTCATCAATCTGTTTTTCCTCTTTAGACTCTTGTTTCTTCCATTGAACCAAAGTATATGATTTATCAAGGACTGAACTCATAATTGCCTGGTAACGTTATGTTTCAACCAACGCTTTAATCCAGCCGAAGCTTACATCCATAGAGCGTTGAAACACCGCTTCCCGCACAATCACCGAAGTTAAGCAAGGTCAAGTCTGGTCAGTATCAAGATGGGTGATCGTTTGGGAATACCTGATGCTGTAAGCTTGGATATGTGGCTGGTGTAATAGATAATGGCTCGAAATTGTTAATCGGAAAGCCGAGTTCCAATTCCTGTTGGCCTTGTTATATTTACTCATGCGGAAATACTACTTATTCTCCCCCAGCTATGGGTAAATTAGTAAGACTGATATAAGTAAATTATTATTACCTACTCCCAAATTTTTACAATCTAAAAATATTTCTGGCTTTAAATAACATGCAAAGTGTTGATAAGCCATAAAAAGCGAATCAATCAATCATAATCTAACAGACCATAATTCTCTTGGACAATTCTTTGACTTTTGAACTCTTAAACCTTACGCTTTAAGCTTTTCTTCTTCTTTTTCTACTCTTCATCCTTCTTCTTTTTCTACAATTCCTCCTCCTCCTCCTCTTCCTCCTTCTTCTTCTTCTTCTATGTATCGTATAACATCAGGATTTTGACAATCATTGTTGGCAATCCACAACTTCCTGTCTTTAATAAAGTTTGTCGTTTTGCTATCCCTCCTCATACCTGTTTTGTCAACCGTTTACACAATCTCGTTAGGTAGTCTAGTCTCTACTTTATTCTAGCCCTCTTGCCATTAATATGCCTTGTGAGTGCCAAATTCTCCGAGCTCTCATTCCTCATCACGTACCCAAGAAATTTCAATTGTCTTTTTTTCTGATTCTAAGTATGTCCTTTTTGTTCCCCATTTCCTTAAAACTTCATAAGTTGAGATGTACCTAAATATCTGTACTGACTACCCAACTTTGGTAGAGTACAAAACTGTGAGTATTTACTATACTCAGTGTAGTTATTTCTTACAGGAAAATTAAATTTCGGCATTAAATGGCCCATAAGGAGTTGATATGCCGTTAAATAAACAAATCAATCAATAGTAATTTTAAGAGAAGATGACAAGAAAAGTTTGAACTGTTTAATAAAAAAATAAAAATACCAATCTATGAAAAGTACTTTGACGTAGTGGATTGTCTTCCATGACCCCGAGAGTAACGCAGGTGGGAGTTTATCTTCTGACAGGCCCAACCTAGCTAGACAGGTCAATGGGTAGGAGACAGTCAGGAACTAAAATCAATGGCAAAATTCCTAGAGCAGGAAGCGGCTCTACAGTTGCATAGATAGGCAAGCATCAACAGGCCGATACATCGTCTACAATGCAGTGATTAATGAAGGATGATAAGCGACACAGCAATCTCCAACAGCATGAATCAATCAGTACTGGTTAGCTAAAAATCGTAGTCGCTAGTAAAAGCTCCAGCACACCACTTCCGATCATAACAGAAGCCTATTTACGTCTGCTCGTAACAATTGTCAAAATGAGGTTAAATATTCGTTTGCGAATACACCTCTAACAAGTTTGGATCCCGTGACTGCCGGCGGCTGTGTAACAGTGTCTTAATTAAGAGTAAGTCTTCTATCCCTCTTCTCTTCACTCAATTTCAAGTGTTAACTTCAAAATGCTTTGCTAAAAAATCCTACTCAAATTCTGCTCATCACGAATATTTTTGCCTGACATTACACTTAAAACTCCGTCCTGGATATGACGATAAACTACATCCGCGCCCTGGGTAAGACGATAAACTACATCCGCGCCCTGGGTAAGACGATAAACTACATCCGCGCCCTGGGTAAGACGATAAACTACATCCAGCGGCGGGGCCTCAGGTCGGGAGGTATTGAGGATCTTGGAACCGATTCTTGATTGCTGGTGATCTCGGGTCTACTCTGACCCGGAGTGGTGTCACATGTTGGGGTCCCAGCTGTGGACCAGTGGTTGGCCCCAGAACTGGGGTCAAAGCATCATGAAGGTGTAGGAATGTGTTTTGTTACTAGCAATGTGTGTTTGGAAAGAAATTACCAGCAATGGATTTTTGAAGAAAAAGTTGTTATTGCCAGCAATGCGTTTTTGAGGTGAATATTGTCAGCAATACATTTTTGGAAAAAATATTGCCAGTAGTGCATTTTGGAAAAATATTGCCAGTGGTGCATTTTAGAAGATGGAGAATATTACCAGCGGTACATTTTTGAAGGAGATAATGCCAGCAATAAAAATCTTGTCGGCATTAAATAACCCATTGAGGTTGATATGCCGTAAAACAAAATAAGCCAAACCAATCTAAACCAAAGAATACATATTCTATTCATACGATTCTATCCTAAAAATGTTGTCGGCATTAAATAACCCATTGAATTTTATAAAACAAAATAAACCAAAGCAATCTAAACCAAAGAATACATATTCTATTCATACGAATCTATCCTAGAAATGTTGTCGGCATTAAATAACCCATTGAAGTTGATATGCCGTAAAACAAAATAAACCAAAGCAAACTAAATCAAAGACTACATATTCTATCCATACGAATCTATCCTAAAAATATTGTCGGCATTAAATAACCCATTGAAGTTAATATTCCTTGAAAGAAACCAAGCCAAACCACTTAAAACTGAGCCTCAATTGAGTGCATATAACACTGTCCGTGATTTCTGGTATCTGAACTCGATTCCCTCAAAGCATGTGAGCTTGATGGTATCCCCGCAAGAATAGTACTGAATTATGGAAGCATTTGAAGAACAATATTATACAACCAATGTCCCATCATTATTATTGTATTTGCATACACATTTCATACATTGAATATAGTAATTACTATGGATCAGAGGTAATACAACATACATCCACTCTCCCATAGTAATTGTTATAATTGTAAAGTCATTTCATACATTGTATGTAGTAACTATTATGTAACAGAAGTAATATAGGCAACCACTGTCTCTTACAAGAACGCTGGTGTTCCTCAAAGCTCTATCCTGGGTCCTACGCTGTTTCTGATCTTCATCAATGATCCCAGGAAGATCATTGTCATCAGTTCCCAAGTTCCAATCTATGCAAATGACATTACCATTTACTCTTGTCTCAGAAGTAAATCCGTCAGAGCATGTTAACTTCAGTCAGTCCATTTTCATAAATTCCAAGTAACAATTAAAAGTGTCAGAAAATTTAATTAAATATTTTCATGAGGTTGGAAATGGACGAGTTTAAATTTGACAAATATTGGTCCAGAACTTTTTGAGTTATTGAGGTTTATTTGCTTTGCATAATAACTTCAGAGGCTGCAAACAAAATAACAACGGCTTTTATATAAAGCCTTTTTCTCCAGACCAGTTATGGGCCATGCGTGATACAGGCTTAAGAGATCATGTATCTTTTGATGCATGACTGACGAGGTAGTTTTTTTCCCCGTAGTAGGTTGTCATTTATTTCTGCGGTAGACCAGTTGCCAACCAAGGCTCAAGAACCCGGTCTGTTCCGCATTTTACCAATAGCTGGGAGGAGAAGAAAAAGATTCATACCTTTCCCAGGGGTATTAACACGTAAGCGGGCGTAATGGAATTCGAACTCGGCTCTCCGAGTCCTAGAAAATGTTAAATGCAATTTAAAAAATGATCTGAAGTTCTAATTTTACTTTTACTTGCAAGACAATGAAGTTAATTTAATAATTAAAAACAGAAAATAATTTTGTTTGCTTGAAACCCATATTTGATTGATTTGTCGGGAGAAATCTATCGTTTTCATCATCTTTACATGTTGTTTCTTTTTACAGAATTTAAAATAAAATGTAATCTTTCCAAATTTTCCATGACATCCAAAGAAAATAAGTGAATTCGGAATTCAATTAATTGGATTCTGAGCAAATATTGCTCTAAATAAAATACAAAAATACATTTGTAAAGTGGGGGGACTCGGTTTCCTGTTAAAATTTAGCCTGAATTTTCATTTGTTTTTTCTATCCTGTTTCTCTTTGTATACTCGGCTTTATTCACTTCCATAAGTTTGCTTCTTCTCTGTGCCTTTTTTATAAAGACTTTCATGGTAATTGTTCGGATGAGCCCTTCGCTATGGTTCCTAGACTCTATGAATTTAAGCGCAATACTAGACTGGCGGCGAGATCTCATCAATTTACAGTTCAGCTAGCTAGATGTAGCCGTCACTTCTATACCAACGGTTTCTTTTCTCGCACTTCTCACTTGTGGGACTCTCTCCCGGCACCATACTTTCCAGCCAACTTTAATCTACAAAAATGTAAATGCAATGTCAATCGCTATCTACTGTCCTGCTGATTGCTCTTTTCTCTTTCTACTCATTACTAATGTTTCTGCTCCTAATTCTCCCACATCTTGCAACCCGGGGCGTACTAGTGGCTGTACTGCCTTGCTTGGGGTGAAACTGATTTAAAAAGAAAAGAGTATATCCTTCAAGACGTAGACGATCATATTTCTCCACAGATGGGAATTGTTATACAGTCTTAGGAAAGATAGTGGAGTGGTTTTTCGTTGAGTTAAAACAAACAGCTATATTTAGTAAAATATGCTGAGGAAGGTTAAAATTTATTCAATAAAATCACCATTATCTTCAACCACGGCCTCAAGACGACTTTGGAATCTGTTGCAACTCTTCTGGATGGTCTCCTTGTTTAAGTTGGTGAATGCTGCCATAACCCTTACCTTCAGTTCTTTTTTGTTTTTACCAGGAGTTTTGTTGTTAATAATCAAGGGGGTACAATCTGGGGAGTTAGGTGGCCAGTTGTAAGTGGTGATGTGGTCGCAGAAATTATCTGACAGCCATGACTTGGTTCTCCTGCTTGTGTGACATTGTACAGATTCCTATTGCCAGACTCTTCTAGCAGCCAGCTTCTTGACCTAAAGAACCACTACCTCCTCAAGGCACTTGATGTAGCCCTCCGTGTTGAGTCTGGGGTCCACATCAACAAATTCGTGAGTCCTTTTCTTATCAGAACAATCAGAGTGAATTTTTAGAGCTGCCGTACCTTCGTTATCACCATTACATTCATCCAACTCTTTCCGAATCCTCTGCACTTTCCTCAGATTGACAACCAAACATTCTGAAATGTTCGTATTCGAGCTTCTGACGCTAAATCCAAGCAGTATAGCATGCTGCATCAAGATTTCTGGGTGAATGAATTGCGTCATAGTGCTCT